AAAGAAAGTATCCGATTTCTATGTGGTCTGGCCTGCTGTAGTCTCTCAAATCTCCAGAGCATCTCAACTCATTCCTGTTCAGACTAGAATTAACACCACTGCCCCTATTTATAGATAATTAGACTCAAGAGGGAATCCAGCCCCAGATTAGTGTCGCCTCTCGCCTCCTCCCACCCCCTGCTTCTGCAGTCACCATTTCCACCCTGGACCCTGAACTTCCCTTCTCTCTTTCCTGAAAAGCTACCAAACCCTGAAGAGATTCCAGCACTCCGACACCTGAACGGGGACGACCTTCTTCTGCTAGCCAGTTTAATAAAGATCCGACGCCTGTTTCATAAACTGGAAGGATGTGTGAATTTCCCCTCCAGCCAGGTCCGGGAAAAATTAAAGCAACCTTCCTACCTTTCTTCACTTTCTCTAAAACTAATTGCCCTTTGTCACAATTCTGGTATGAAGCAAGATACAATAACAACAATAACAGCTTTGATAAATGAAAAGATTTAACGACAGTGATGGTGCTTTCCTTTGTTTTCTTGAGTCTTTCCGGGAGGGGGTGTCGGAGATTTCAAGAAAAGTGTATAAAACGACTAGGAAATACCAAGGAATGTGCTTTATTACAAATTTAGAGCACATCCAGAGTCATCACTGGTTTGCATTCTTGGTGGGAAAACTAACAACTCACTCTGAGGACAGCAGAGAACAAGCAAGTCAGCCAAAGTGCCCCTATCAGCCAGAGCTCCATCAGGAAAACCGAAAGCAGGGAGGGAGCAGGTGCTTCCACAACCTTCCCCTTCCTAAAGGCTGGGAAAGTGAAGGTCAAGGAACTGCCCTGAGGTCGCTGGGGAAATGAGGGAATCTCAGGAAGCCAAGAAGCCAACAGCACCGAGGAAGAGCTGCAGCCTCACATCCCGGCCGGTGCAAGACCAACAGCTACCCCCTCCCCAAGTCCACCCTCCTGCCAGAGGTGAAGGATGGCTGCTGCTCCTCTCCCGCCTCCCACACCTCAGGCAGCTGCCTCCCCCTGGGGAAACATAATGGTTCCCGCCGGCAAAGGGTTATGGAACAATATGTATCTCCCCTTCTGAGGGGAGGGAGGAGGGATGTTGCTGGATCTGCAATGATGGCCCAGCACAGCATCCTCTGCTCAGTGATGAAGATGCTTCAGAGCAGAAAGCAGAGTTGAGAGTCGGATGTGGAGAACCCTAAAGACTGGACCGCCCAACCCTGCCCTCTCCTGAACTTCTCTGACTTCTCAGTTCCCTGTTCTTTGGGAGAGGGAGGAATGTAGTTGGAGGGGCCATTCCTTCTAGTGAATAACGCATTTGGTGCTAAGGTGTAGCAAGAGAGATTAAGCCTATCCACCGGTGATTGATCAGTTAGCGTGAGGTACTAAATCATACTGTTTTCCTACTAAGAGCCCGCTGAGGAAGCATGGGGAGGAGAAGGAAGGGACAGGAAGAGTGGAAGGATGCTGTGTCCCAGGGAGGGCCGAGTGCTGGGCAGCATGAAACAGGTGAGCTACTGGGAGACTAGGGGCTGGTCTTGGTATTAATCCATTCACCACCATTTTGTTTAAAGCTGCCTTTAACAAATTTACGGTTACCAAAGGGGGAAGTGGGTGGGGGAGGGATGAATTAGGAGTTTGGAATTAGTAGATACAAACTACTATGTACAAAACAGATAAACAACAGGGCCCCACTGTATAGCACAGGGAACTATATTCAATATCCTGTAATAAACCATAATGGAAAATATGAAAAAGAAAATATGTATAACCGAATCACTTTGCTATACACCAGAAACTAACACAACATTGTGAATCAACTATACTTCAATTAAAAAAAAATTTTTTTTAAAGCTGCCTTTAGGGGACTTGTCTGGTGTCACAGGGTTAAGAATCTGCCTTCCAATGCAGGGGACACGGGTTCGATCCCTGGTCAGGAACTAGATTCCACATGCATGCTACAACTAACAGTTCTCATGCCACAACTAAGGGGCCCACAGGCCACAACTAAGGAGCACGTGCCACCAACTAAAGGAGCCAGAGAGCCACAACTAAGGAGCCCACCTGCTGCAACTAAGACCAGGGGCAACCAAAATTTAAAAATTAAAATAGAAAAAAAAATTTTTTAAAGCTGCCTTTGGGCTTCCCTGGTGGTGCAGTGGTTGGGAGTCCACCTGCCAATGCAGGGGACACGGGTTGGAGCCCTGGTCCAGGAGGATCCCACATGCCGCGGAGCAACTAAGCCTGCGTGCCACAACTATTGAAGCCTGTGCGCCTGGAGCCCGTGCTCCGCAACAGGAGAGGTCACCGCAATGAGAGGCCCATGCGCCACGGTGAAGAGTGGCCCACGCTCACCCCAACCAGAGAAATCCCGTGCACAGCAATGAAGACCCAGTGCAGCCAAAAATAAAATAATTTTTTTTAAAAAGCTGCTTTTAATTATCTTACTTTTTAGGAACTGTGTCAACACTGAGAATTCAATTTTCTTATTTTTTCATTTCCATTCTTGCTAATCTCCACTGCTTTCTGAAAAAGAGGTTCCGAGGCTTACGTCTTGATCAATGCTAAATGTCTCTTTCTCTTTCTTATTTTTGCCTTTTGCCTCTTCCTTTTCACTGATAAGTGAAATTTTATTTTCTATAAAGTGAGACAGAAATATTAATTGAGCTAATATGTTTCAATATAGCTCTGAAAAATAGCATATAACAGTATAACGTGTAACAATCACAACAAAGCCTTAACTGGATCTGTTTTTGTACATCATTAAACACTATTTTTGGGTGTGCTGAGCCCTAGTGGATACTGAATAAGGCCTTGATTAACTGGAGATTGGCAGGATAATGAGACAACATCTTTCAACAATTTTGCTTCATGTTTAATAATAAAATGTTATTTATTTAAAATAATTTATGTGTAATAAAGCAATTTATGCTGCTTCTTTAAAATGTATTAAAAATGAACATGTTTATATCTACTTCTAGCTATCTTTTACGGTCATATTTCAAGGCAACTGTATTTACTGAAGGGACTGAGTTGTTAAAAATAACAATAATGATAAATTTTATTTTGAGTATCTATGTATACCAAAAGTGCATTGGGATATGCCACAGATTTTATTTATCATTGTCCATTTTTCCACTTCTCTGTTTCAGGTAATCTTGGTTTTGAATAATCTATTCTGTTAATTCATGGGGTGTGGTTTTTTTCTCATTTTTCACAATAAAAACCTCTTCAAAAAAATTAATCTCGTCTAGGAAACCATAAACAAAACAAAAAGACAACCTACTGACTGGGAGAAAATATTTGCAAATGATGTGCCTAACAAGTGCTTAATTTCCAAAATATACAAACAGCTCATGCAGTTCAATATCAAAAAAACAAACAACCCAATCAAAAAATGGGCAGAAGATCTAAAGAGACATTTCTCCAAAGAAGATATACATTGCCAACAAACACATGAAAGAATGCTCAACATCATTAATCATTAGAGAAATGCAAATCAAAACTACAACGAGGTGTCACCTCACACGGTCACTAATAGTAAGTCCACAAATAATAAATGCTGCTGAAGAGGGTGGGGCGAAAAGGGAACCCTCTTACACTGTTGGTGGGAATGTAAATTGGTGCAGCCACTATGGAGGACAGTATGGAGGTTCTTTAAAAAACTAAAAATAGAGTTACCATATGATCCAACAATCCCACTCCTGGGCATATATCTGCAAAAGACGAAAACTCTAACTTGAAAAGATAAATGCACCTCAGTGTTCACAGCAGCACTATTTACAATAGCCCAAGACATGGAAGCAACCTAAATGTCCATCAACAGGTGAATGGATAAAGAGAATGTGGTACATATGTACAATAGAATATTACTCATCCATAAAAAAGAATGAAATAATGCCATTTGCAGCAATGTGTATGGACCTAGAGATTATCATATTAAGTAAAGTAAGTCAGACAGAGAAAGACAAATATCATATGGTATCACTTATATATGGAATGAACTTATTTACAAAACAGAAACAAACTCACAGACATAGAAAATAAACTTATGATTACCAAAGGGAAAGGGGATGGAGGGATTAACAGAAACACACTACCATATATAAAATAAACAAGGATTTACTGTATAGCACAAGGAACTATATTCAATATCTTGTAATAACCTATAATGGAAAAGAATTTTTAAAAAGTATACACTTAAATATATAGATATGTATAACCGAATCACTTTGTACCTGAAACTTAACACAATATTGTAAATCAACTATACTTCAGTAAAAGAAAAATTAAACTCTTCTAGCCATACACCTGAAAACTAACACAATACACCTGCAATTAACACAATATTGTAAATCAACTATATTTCAATAAAAGAAAAAAAATTAAACTCTTCTAGCCATAAAGTTGTCATATAGTAATATTGCATAAATTGAGGGAGAAGAAAACACTCTAAATATGTAGGTTTTTCCAGATGTAAATTTCAGAAGAATTATTGATGTACTTAAAGCTTAAAGCAGGACTACAAATCCTTGTCTCCATTTATTCCTGATCTCAGGATTTTCACTTTTTTATTTTGTTCATGCATATTTTACATTTTATGTGTACCATTTTGAACAGATAAAATGATCACCTTTGAGAAGATACATATATGCACTTCAATGTAACTGATAAGAAATGAAAACTTTCTGCTTCAGGTAAAGCTGGCAGCAAAGCATGTCAGCAAAGCCTTGGAGACCTGAAACGTAAGAGCACATCCAGTGTATGGGCCTCTGCGCAGTTCTAATAGTGTGTGAGCAACATACACCAAAGTGAGTTTCATTGGTAGCTATTCCTGCTAATAAAAGTCATACCAGGGAATTCCCTGGAGGTCCAGTGGTTGCAACTCCACGCTTTCACTGCCGAGAGGTCTGATAATAAATAAAATTAATAAAAAAAAACAGATTATAGACATAGGTCACATAGACTAAAAATTAACAGGAACTGGAGGCTGGTATCAGAGTGAATGATTTAATTATTGCTGTGACATAAGCTATATTGATAAGTACTGACAACAGCAAAAGTAACTTTGTACTATACAGACATATTTGTCTTTCACAGACAGAGAATGGATAGAAAATGCCGTGCACGTACAAAACACATCCACGTAATTTCCATAAGCACACTTTTTTTTGCAGAGTTTATTAGTTATCAGTCCTAATACAGATGAAGTTGTGAAGTATGAATCAACTTCTGCTTCATTAAACTATGAAGAAAAGGTTTAAAATAAATTACCTTCTAGTGAATGGTCCTTGGCCCTCCAGAAAGAAACGAAGCAATCCATCTAGAGCAGTGATCTTCACTTTTCCCTTCTCAAGCCCTTAAAAAAATTTTTTTAATGCATGTTCTCCCTTGTACATTTTTCAGTTGACATCTATAATGATTCATCACAAGTTTAAGCAATTGCAAAGAATCTAATTTCCAATGTATTATAAATCTTAACATTTTGAAATAAAACGTTACTTTCTGAAATGAATCCAGTGGAATCTAAATACCATAGCAATATGATACCCGTCATTATCCATTAAAAATATATGATTTTTTAAAAATTTTATTTATTTTTGGCTGCATTGGGTCTTCGTTGCTGCGTGCAGGCTTTCTCTAGTTGCGGCAAGCAGAGGCTAGTCTTTGTTGCGACGCACGGGCTTCTCATTGAGGTGGCCTCTCTTGTTGCACAGCACAGGCTCTAGGCGCGTGGGCTTCAGTAGTTGTGGCACGTGGGCTCTAGAGCACAGGCTCAGTAGTTGTGGCGCTCGGGCTGCTGCTCCGCAGCATGTGGAATCTTCCTGGACCAGGGCTCAAACCCATGTCCCCTGCACTGGCAGGCGGATTCTTAACCACTGCGCCACCAGGGAAGTCCCTGACTAACTCTTCTTAACATCATTCTTTTTTTTTTCTTTTTGAACTTACACTTTCACCCTACTTCCTTCAAAGAAGTTTATTGGACTGTGATATATTTTTATGCTTGAAGATCTACTACTGATCATCTGCTCATACTTCTTGACTACAAAAGTATTTGACTACAAAAGTATTTTATTTTAAAAAATTTTAAACTTCACTTCATATGATCTTAAAGCTGTAAGTGTTCAAAAAAATTATTTTGATTGAGTTAACATTACCATTACTAGTAACATATAATTGATCAAAACAACATGACAAATTTTAATTGAAAGTAAAATTTTAGTGGAAATTTATACTCACCCTTTTAAAATTTGATTTAAAGCAAAGAATTGCAAACCCCTTGACAGTGATCTTCAAACTGGCGGCTGTCAATTAATACACAGGCCCCAAGCACTAGGGCCTAAGGTGACAAAAGAAAATTTTTCCTCCCAACAGTGTTTGTGCGTTTATGTGTAATAGTATCTGTTTCATGACCAAGAACCATCTCCATTTTGCACCCCATATGGTGGGGAAACTGGACAAAGCATATTTGGGGTGTCAATTTTACCCTGGATATTCAGCTAAAGCTGATCCCCTGGAGAATCCTTCACCCCTGGGTGTCCTCATATCCCCAGTTTAAAGATCACTATTCTCACCATTTCAGTATATATTTAAAAATTTTCACGTTAAGTGAAAAAACCACAACATACATATATATACATACATATAAAATATACATATATATTTTATATTTATATATACACAAAATATACATATTTTATATTTATATACACACATACATATATTTTATATTTAGACACACACACACCTCAGATGGCTGGCTCCACCAGCTGATTCTAAATTTAAGTTGGTCTAGGATGGAGATGGGCTTCAGTAGTTTTTTAAAGCTCCCCAGCTGATTCTAAAGTGCAGCTGAGGCTGATAATGACTGGATTAGGGCTAAAAGAAGGGAGAAAAAAAATTCCCTAAAAGCATCATAATCAGCACAGACTCCTGCCTACACTCAGCAGGGCCTGCTTTTTTTTTGTTGTTTTTTCCTTTTGTACTGGAAGGAAAAACCATCACCTCCACCATGAAGAACTCTGGGACATGGTATTGTCTGGGAATTCGGGGACAGGGAAAGGGTTCTTCCCTGCAAAGCATACTGTCTCATGCAGAGATCAAACTGACAGTATTCAGACTCAAAGGAAATGTGCTTTTTTTTTTTAAACCAAATTTTTACAAGAAATTCAATGCATCCATTTTAAGTGTAGTGTCCTTATCTTCTGTATTGGAAGGCTTCCTCTTCCTCTATAAGCAATGTGTCTTGTTTTCCTCTGGCTGCTTTATAAGGTTTTTCTCTTTATTATTGGTTTTCAGCAGATAGAAAAACAACAGAAAAAAAAATCAATAAACCAAAAGTTGTTTCCTTGAAAATATCAACAGAATTGACAAGCCTTTAGACCGGCCAAGGGAAAAAAGAGAAAAGACTCAAATTACCTAAAACAGGAACAAAAGAGGAGACACGAAACTTACAGATATGAAAAGGATTATAAGCGAATACTATGGACTATACTAACAAAATAGATAAATGAAATGCACAAATTCCCAGGAATACACAAAATACTGAAACTGATATAAGAAGAAATGGAAAATATGACTTGGCCTATAAGATATAAAATTAGTAATTTTTAAATTTCCACAAAGAAAAGCTGAGGTCCAGATGGCTTCACTAGTGAATTTTACCAAACGTCCAGAAAAAAAATGATATAAATTCTTCACAAATTGTTCTGAAAAACAGAAGAGGAGCAGACACCTCCCAACACATTCTATGAGGCCAGTATTACCCTGATACCAAATCAAAGATAGCACAAGAAAAGAAACTAAAGATCTATATTGCTTATGAATATTGATGCAAAAACTCTCAATAAATACTAGCAAACCAAATCTAGTAACATATAAATAAGATTATACACCACACCATGGCCACATGAAATTTATCCCAGGATATGAGGTTGGTTTAACATCTGGAAATCAATTAATATAATAGTGTAGAATAAGGGGGGAGGGAGAGACATGATTAAATAAATGCAGAAAAAGCAGGGAACTTCCTAACCCTGATAAAGGACATCTATGAAAACTTCACAGCTTTAAGTAACATCATACTTAATGGTAAAAGCCTGGATGCTTTCCACCAAAATCAAGAACATGCAAGATGTCTGCTCTGGCCACTCCTGCTTAGCACTGTACGAGAGGTTCTCGTCAGGACAAGAGAAAGAAATAAAAGGCATCCAGATCTGAAAGAAAAGAAGTAAAACTATCTCTATTTGCAGATGGAATGATTTTATACATAGAAAACCCTACGTAATCCACACACACACGCAAATATTAGAACCAATAAACGAGTTCAGCAAAGTTACAGAATACAGGATTAATGTACAAAAATAAATTGTATTTCTACACACTAGCAGTGAACATTCTAAGAATGAAATTAAGAAAACAATTCCATTTATGATACCATCAATAAAATATCTGGGTACAATTTTAACAAAAGAATTCAAGACCTGTACACTGAAAACTACAAAAACATTGTTGAAAAAAATTAAAGACCTAAATAAATGGAATGACACCCATGTTCTCAGATCAGAAGACTTGATATTGTTAAGATGACAATACTCTTCAAACTGATTTAACATAATCTACAGATTAACAATCTCTATCAGAATCCTTGCTAGTTTCTTTGCAGAAACTGACAAGTTGATCCTAAAGCTCATATGGAAATGCCAAGGGACCCAGAATAGCCCAAACGATCTTGAAAAGGAAGAACAAAGGTGGAAGATTCATCAAACCCTATTTCAAAACATACTATAAAGCTACAGTAATCAAGATAGTGCCCTAATGGTATAAGGCTAGACAATGGAATAGAATTGATAATGGTCAATGGATTTTGACAAGGTGACAACACAATTCAATGAGGAAACAATAGTCTTTTCAGCAAATGTATTCCACATACAAAAACTGTCCTTGGAACCCTCCTTAAACCCTATACAAAAATAATGCAAAATGGATCAAAGACCCAACTGTAAGAACTAAAACTATAAAACTCTTACAAAAAAAAATAGGCATAAATCTTGATGACCTTGAAGTAGGCAATGGTTTTTCAGATATGATGCCAAAAGCAAAAATAACAACAAAAAAAGATAAACTGAACTTCACCAATATTAAAAATTTTTGTGCTTCGAAGGACACCACCGTTAAGTAAAAAAGACAACCCACAAAAAAAAGAAAACCTGCAAATCATATATCTGACAGAAGTCTAGCATGCAGAATATATAAACAACTCTTATAACTTAATGAGTAACAACCCAATTAAAAAAGGGCAAAAGATATGAATAGACATTTCTTCAAGTAAGATATACAATGGCCAATAAGCACATGAAAATATGCTCAACATCATTAGTTATCAAAATTTCAGATAAAACCACAATGAAATACCACTTCAGACACTAGGATGGCTATAATCAAAAAGTCAGATAAAATAACAAGTGTTGGTGAAGATGTAGATAAATTGGAACACTGCTGGTGAGAATGTAAACTGGTGTAGCCACTTTGGATTTTTCTCTTTCTTCAGTTTACTTTCTTTTGCTATGTCTTCAAGTTCATTGATCTTTTTCATCAGTGTCTAATCTTCTTTTAAGCCCCTCCAGGGAATTATTCATATAAGATATTGTATGGTTTCATTGCTAGAAGTTCCATTTGGTTCCATTTCTGTATCTCCAATTCCTCTTATCATTGTATTCATGTTTCTCTTTAAATATCTGAGCATATGCATAAAAACTATTTTAAAATCTTTGTCTGCTAATCCTATCGTTAGTCATTTCTGGGTGCTTTCTATTTATTGGTTTTTCTGCTGACTATAGCTCACATTTTCCAGCTTCTATGTACAGTAAATTTTTAATGGATTAACACTGCAAATTCTGCATTGGGGAGTGTTGAATTTTGTGAATTCCTTCAAAAGGTGTAAGACTGTTCAGTGAGGCAGCTTGGTTACTTTTGGATCATGCTGAACCTTTCAAGGCTTGTTATTAAATTCATGAGTGTGAGTTTAAGATAATCTTTACTCTGGGCAGTTCAGCCCTACTGCCAAGATGTGACCCTTCTGAGGTCTCTACTGAATGGCCTAAATGTATAACTCTCCATTCTAGCAGCTCAGAACATGAATGTTTCCCAGCCTTTTTGAGCTCAGGTAATTTGTTCAGCTTGCCAACTACCCATTCTTTGCCCAGCCTTATGAAGTTTCAGCAATACACTCAATGAAACTCCTATGGAGACTTTTGTGGCCGTTTCCTTTTTTTTTTTTTTTTTTGTGGTACACAGGCCTCTCACTGCTGTGGCCTCCCCCGTTGCGGACCACAGGCTCCAGACGCACAGACTCAGCAG